AGAGTTTGCTTTATTTATTTTTGGTTTAACGACCATTACATTTAGTTTAAACATACCGTCGAAAATATACACTCTTCCGACAAACATTCCACTTTTTGACAAAATAACTTTGTCTGACTTAAATACAATGCGAAAATTATGCTTATTCAAAAGCGACCTAGACACTAGGTTCTTGTGAATTTTTGGCACGTATAGCACATTTTTAAGAGTCGACTCTTTTCCTGAGGTCATCTTCAGAACCACCTTTCCTTAACCCTTGATTTCAGAAGTTGCTAAATTTTTCATAAACAACCTTTTCCCATTCTCAATTGCTTCAAACGCAACAAACAACTCTTTATCAGAGCATATATACCTAGTAGCACCGGTGTCAATCCACCACTCTTAATGGTTTGAACCCACCATATTCACTTTAGAAACGACGGCCGAGAGATTCAACTCCAACACATCTTGTGCCATGTAGTTAACCACATTTGCTTATTTCTTTTTCTTTGGCAATCTACACTCCAAAAACTCGTGGCCAACTTTGTCACAATTAAAGCATTTCCCTTGAAATTTCTTCTTAGAAATTCTACCTTTCAGTCCTTACATTTAGTTTAAACATACCGTCGGAAATATACACTTTTTCGACAAACATTCCACTTTTTGACAAAATAACTTTGTCTGACTTAAATACAATGCAAAAATTATGCTTATTCAAAAGCGACCCAGACACTAGGTTCTTGTGAATTTTCGGCACGTATAGCACATTTTTAAGAGTCGACTCTTTTCCTGAGGTCATCTTCAGAACCACCTTTCCTTAACCCTTGATTTCAGAAGTTGCTAAATTTTTCATAAACAATTTTTCCCATTCTCAATTGCTTCGAACGCAAGAAACAACTCTTTATCGGAGCATATATACCTAGTAGCACCGGTGTCAATCCACCACTCTTTATGATTTGAATCCACCATATTCACTTCAGAAACGATGGCTGAGAGATTCAACTCCAACACATCTTGTGCCATGTAGTTAACCACATTTGCTTCTTTCTTTTTCTTTGGCAATCTGCACTCCGAAAACTTGTGGCCCACTTTGTCACAATTAAAGCATTTCCCTTCAAATTTCTTCTTAGAAATTCTATCTTTCAGTCCTTGCTTGGTTTTTTTTGCCACCGGATGGCTCAGACTTATTTTTGTAGTTCTTACTATTTTGACCAAGCTCCACAACATTGGATTTAGCCATACCAGGATTGAACCATTTCTTTTCAAAACTCTTGTTGTCTTCTTCAATTTTAAGTCTAACAAATAGTTCTTCGATGTTCATTTCCTTTCGCTTGTGCTTAAAATAATTCTTGAAATATTTCCATGCGAGGGGCAATTTTTCAATAATTGTAGCCACTTGAAAAGTTTCACTCAAAATCATTCCTTCGGCATGAATTTCGTAAAGAATCACTTGGAATTCTTGCACTTCACTGATAACTGCTTTGGAGTCCACCATTTTATAATCTAAGAATCTACCAACAATGAACTTTTTAGCTCCGGCATCCTCAGTTTTATATTTTCGGTCCAACAACTCCCACAACTCCTTAGCAGTTTTCATATTGCTATACACATTGTACAGCGTGTCTGCTAAACTATTCATAATATAGTTTCGGCACAGAAAATTCGAATGGTTCCAAGTATTAAGTGCACTGATTGCTTGAACATCTTCCTCACCGTCATTGAGTTTTGGAGTAGCCTCAGTAAAAAATCTCGCAAGATTCAAAGTGGTAAGATAAAATAGCATTTTCTGCTGTCACTTTTTGAAATTCAAGTCATTGAATTTCTCCAATTTTTTCCCATGATTAATCAGAACATTAACGGTATGGCCAGTTGTTGGAGCAACAGTTTGACTCATAACATGACTTGGCAATCTAGTCACAATCTGAGCCACAACAGAGCTTGGCCCTTGAGCCACAACTGAACCCATAGCCTGATTTCTAGTAAGCATAGTCTGGGTCACATCCATGTTGGTTGATTCAGTTGCCATTTTTGAAAGTCAAAACAAAAAAATTAGTTTCTCAAATTAACAGTATAAGAAACCAATTTTTTTCTTAAAAAATCTGTTTTAAGGTTTGTTGGAATATTGTGGTGATAATGAAACCGGATTATCACATACCGTATGTATAGTTTAGATATCAATTTTAAGCATACCGTATATGCCGCTTACTGTATTTGTAAATAGCTTACCGTATATGTAGCTTACCATATTTGTAACCTACCGTATTTGTAGGCAACTTACCGTATTTTCACCTTACCGTATTTGCAATTTACCGTATATGCTGCTTACCGTATTTGCACAAAGTTTTCACAAACTGTTTTTATTTCATTTCATATACAGTGATTGACTTTACACATATTTGCTAGATACTGTATGTGGAACTAACATAACGGATATGCACTTGCATACATCAAAATGTAGAAATACTGAATTTGCATATATTATCTAAATAAATACTGGTTGGAAACTACTAAATCGAATGTTATCAAATTAATTAATTTTCTTCAGAGTTTTTTTTTCGACATACATATAATAAACCATAAAATTATATGAAGCACATATAACAAAATAAACTAGAAAAGCTACGAAGCAAAAGATTAAATTGCAAGTAAATTCCAATAAATCTACAAGAATAAATCGCAAATATGTAAATTGTAGAAAATAAATAACTTTTCAACCCGAGACCTGTGGGAGCACAGTTTCCTTAAAATAAAGTCTCTCCTCACTGTGAGTGCTTATGCTTTAAACCAAGCGTCTGTTTCCCAAGATACAACGGTAAAACTCATAGAATGTGAGCACCACAGAAACTATTTCGACGAAGTGATTTAGCGTCTAAACAATATCACCACGACCATACTGGATAGTTATGCATATGCAAGAAACTACAATCCTACTGGACAAATGCAGATGCAGATATCCGAACAGTGCAGTGAGGAAAGAGAACAATTTTTTCGTCTGAGAAAATTGCTAGAAACTGAGTTTAATAATACGGACTTAATTTATCCATTAACCATTGGAGTTATATCAGTTTTTGGAGTTTCAGAAACTCGAAAGTCAGTGGAGAAAGCAAGAAAAAAATTGCAAAATATGAGCTCTCCAAAGAGGTCAATTTTTGCTTCGTTCGGTCTGACATTCGTGCCCACAGGTCGTGCTTGCACACAAATTCAAGGTTCGAAAGCAATTTCGATCCAAGATTCGCACCCCCCTGCCCGCGCATGTGGAGAGAGCCTCTATGCTACACATGATTACACATTTCCAATGTATACCGATATTTAGGGGTGGGCGGGGGTCGGTTCGGTTCGGTTCTAAAGAGAATCGAACCGAACCAAAATTTTCGGGTATTTAGCAAATGGAACCATCGGGTCCAAATATAATTATGGAACCGTTCAGGTTCGGTTCCGTTCGGTTCTATATTATAATTAAAATTTTTAACATTTATAACAACATTATATGAATGCAACTAATGACACATTCAATGGTTTTAAAATGTCAGAGACTAGTAGACTACCTTATTCAAATGATCGTTACGGTCAAAATTTCGATTGGCGGAGGTCGCAGCTTCGATCGAAGGTCACAGCTTCGGTTGACGATTGTATAGGTTTTGGAATGTCATCGAGGCTGCAAGAGTCAAGACAACATTATGCACTTTAGTGTAGATGTTTAGGATTATTTAGTGGGTTGGATCTTCTTCGGCTAAGAAATGAGACAATAAAATGGGCAATTTGGCCAAAAATTAAAAAATTAAAAATAAAACAAATTATTGGTCCAAAAATTTGGATTTATAAATTGTTAATTTGTTTAGAAAAAATTAAAATTAAAATAATTTGCTTTATTCAATATAAAAAAAAAATTTGAAAGATTCGGTTCTTCGGTTCTTGGTCTAGAACCGAGATCCGAATCATATCTGTCGGTTCTTAATTCAGATACCCATTCGGGTATTTAATTTGACAAGAACTGTCGGGTTCGATTTGGTTCGGGAGATTTGCCCAGCCCTAGCCATATTTAAAGTGGTTCTTGCTTTTATATTTTTCCTATGTGGGACTAAACGCATTTTTCCCACATAAATCATCTTTCAATGATTATCTTTAAACTCCAATTTCTCATTTACCTAAACTTCATTTTTGGCAAATAAATATATGATTTTAATACTCTCATGGAAGAGAATACAGAACAACTTTGATATTCCAAATTGGACTAACGAGTCCCACCGAAAATTTTGCCAAATGTGAGCCATTTACTCATTTTTTCCTACAATATAGTCAACAAACCTATTATCTACCCCTCACCCAAGTCCCATCACCCTTTTCCCTTTCCCTCCCCCTTTAGCTCCCTTGTACGCTTAGTAGAAGGGAAGGGTAGGATAGGGTAGGGAGATTTTGAGAAATGCTACTTGTACAAGATGTTTTAACAGATGGAATTATAGAATGTTGAGTTGGCATGAGTTCATATCATTTTGGACAAAAACAAAGTTAAACCAGCTAATAAAATCTTGCTAGCTCAACACCTGTAACTCCGTCTATTAAAAAAAAAATGTACAAGTAGCATTTTTCAGGGATTTTTTTATTATTAATTTCAAGCTAATAGGAGAGAGTGACATGCTGAATGATTTGTTATTCTTTTTCAATCTTGAAAGGGCTAGAAAAGAGTTAGATTCATTAATTTTTACTTAGTTGGGGAATATGTTGGTTGACTTCTGCTGCAGTCTAGTTTACACCTCAAGGTGATGTACAGAAAATTAAGGCAATCAAGTAATTTTCAATAACCTTTCAAATGTCCAAACTCTGATGAATCTCCAGTGATTCTTCTCTAGTTCAACATATCATTGCCCTCGAACTGAACTGGGATTAGTCTGATGTTAGTGAAGTCCTTACCTCGACTTTAGGCTGCCTTCTGCGAACATTTCAGGTTTGTTTTCGCAATCTCATCTTCATCAAGCACCTCTCGGCAACTCTTAAGATTAGCAAAGAAAATTTCGTCGCCAATATAAAACCATAAAAAAGTATGAAATAAAATGAAATCATAGCAAAGTTCAGATTTTTTGAGCATCAGAATGCCAATGTTTCATCACAATGTCAGTATATCTATCAAACAAATCCAATTCTTAAGCTATGTTGCAGACAGTAGTATCCTAAAGTGAAAGTCTGAGTTCCAAATCTAATTCTTGAGTAGAACTAGATTCGAAGTTCTCATGATTAGAGCCCACTGAATCATTCGGACCTTTCTTGTTCTTCTCAAGGAGTGAATCCTGCAGAATAAATGACAATGATAACGAAATTGTTGTAATCAAATTCATTTCTACGTTACAGGGTAAAAAAATTTGGTGCTATTTACTTGTATCTAAATTTCAAGTGAGTCGTTCAACCTCTATTATCTTGGCAAATGAAAATGTTAACTTGCCAGTTGATAATTTGTGTCAAAATCAAATATAGTTGTTTCATTTCAACATTCATATCATTTTTATTTTGAGCAAGGAAATCTCCCTTTATTCAAATATCTTTAAAAGGAATTGCCGGTTAATGGAACTTGAGAAGGCGCTGAATCGTCTTTTGTTCATGACGCTTAGCCTAAAAGGCTCTCTTTCTAATAAACTAAAAGTTCCCTCGAGATCCTTTATGGTAGTAATGTGGACGGCAGTGTATTCAAAGAAAAACAAGGAAATGGTTTTGTGCACGAGAGTTTAAGGGCCCGTTTGGCTAATTTTATGAAAATGTTTCTGGCAGTTCGAAGAGATTTTTGGAGAAGTTGGTGTAATGTGACTTCCTCTAAAAGCACTTCCAAAATAGAAAATGCTTTTAAAAATTAGTTTCCAAATAAAAATTAAGGAAGCTACTTTCAAAAGCTATTCTATATGAAGCAAAAGCCATGTGAAACGATCCTAAATGAACATGCTAATGTTGAAATAAAAGATAAACTGACTCAATGATAAACCCACTTGAAATTCCCAAATTCAGTGACATCTCGAAACATTTTTACCTGTATTTGTAGGTTCAAGAAGTGTCTTCTCATGCTTGGCTGCACAAACTGTTGGGTTCCTGAGACCGCTTGGATCGAATCCCATCTGTCTCGACTCGTAAATGATATATTTGGTAAGTTAGATTGAGAAATAAAGAATTAAGAAAGAAAAACTAAATTTTATGAATTATATTGGTGACATACATACCTTGTAGCATTTATTTGTTGGGACTCTTCATATTTGATGTTTTCCTCTGCCAAGTCTGGGCAACCTATCTGAAACGTGGCCAAAATCTAAAAGCTAATTACTGTACAATGGAGTCATTAAGCAGCAAAGAAATTAAAATTTTGCTTGGGAAGAATTATAAACTGATAGAATAATTGGTGGATAATTGGATTGTACTTTTAGGTTCACTAGAGCATGTAATTGAAAATAAAATTTGATCATATATAAATGATTTATAAATATTACTAAATCATGCAAAAAACATGTGCTCTGTGCAATTTTTTGGCTGAATTCATCGTGATGTACCAACATTGAACAAGCTTATATATGGACGACGAGAGAAAATCCCAACTGATGATTACCAATCTTTGGTCGAGAATGGTCGTGAGATTACAACGATCATTATATCTAGTTCAGTTAAGGTCTACTTAGCATTAAATTAGCTATATTCATTACAAAACCATGAAAAAAAATGCTGATTTTATTGGAAAACTAGAGAAAAACTTCAGAATCCAGAAGTTCACTATAGCCACTGATATACATCTTAACACTTTTTGTCAAATATTAATCTCATTATAATTATGACTAGAAAACTATAAGATCTAATTAAAAAAATCCGGTGATCATATTGCAATGTTGTTTATAAGGATTGCTGAAGTTTCTCATACCATGATGCCATGGGGAGTTCGAAAACCATAAGAAGGCGACGACAATGACGAGTATGAAAAACTCGATGATGAGTAGGTTGCTTGAAGTCCCATATCCTCCTGCAGGTTTGTCAATTGATGAAATCCATATACCAATAAAACTTTACATATTCATAAGAAAATTTGAATAGTAATTAGGTCAAATCTTTTACATAAAAAATTTGTGGAAAAAAAAAAAATAATAATAAGCACTGCCCACCTGGCTGAAATTCTCGAAATAAGGATTATGATGGTAAGTAGAGCTCATTTCATGTAGTCTGATCTTCTCTAGTTGAGCCACACCAAGGCCTCTTAGGGGTTTCTTGCTCTTGTCTGAATTTCTCTTCTTGCCTCTCCTGAATGATGATGATGATGATGATTCTAGGGTTTCGTTTCCTAGGTTTTGGTCATCAGAATTGCTGCTGGCCATCTGTTTAATTTTCTATCTTTTTTTTTTTTTTTTTTTTTTAACCCAGGTGTCCCAGCTTAGCCGGACTAAATCCTGGACCTCTAGCCCCCGGCCCCTCAATGACTAGTGGAGGTAAATCGCAGGTTGTGCCCTTGTTGGTTCCCAGGTTCCCACATGGCTTTTACTCCTTTCCCAAAGGGACCCTCCTCCATGGTTATTACATCACTTGGCTGCTCCAACCAGGAATCGAACTCCCCACACTTGGTTCCAGAGCCCCCCAATGTGATTGTTCCGCCAACTTGGATGTGCCCTGGGGGACTAATTTTCTATCTTAATTTGACTGATGGAGGGGAGATCAGTTAGGGTTTAAGATAGCTTAACAAATTAACTTTCTTGCAATATTGGTGAGGACTTTGCTGAAAAAACTGCAATGGGATATCAAAGAGATCTTCTGATATGCTTTTAAGCTGTCAACATTTTTCACTCAGCAATTAATTATTGCATCGCTGGATCAGATTTCTTTTGTAGTTTATTTGATTCATTGTCTTCAAAGAAGTATTTAAATTCTTATTTGCTAAAGATTTTTTAAAACTTATTATTCTTCAAATTTATTTTCAACTAGAAATTTTTTTAATAAAATAATTTTACATGTAAACCTTTATTTATTTATTTTTTTTTTTTTATTTTTTGTCAAGTTAATTTCATCTATATGTTCATTTTCTTCAACAAACATATGAGGTATTCATTATTCCAATAAAATAATTTTACACATAGATCCGTATTTTTTTGTCAAGTTAATTTCACCTATATGTTCATTTTCTTCAACAAACATTGTGAGGTAAAGATATATTAATTAGCAAAACTCGCAATCTAGAATTTACCAATAAAGAAAAACTCTAAATTAGAATTCATCTGAAAAACTTTCTGAACTAGAAAGATCCAAGTGATTGGAATATACTGTAACACTACAACATGAAAATTTGAAACTATGATGTAAAATTTTAGTTATAATCACTTGAAATCTATGGGATACTAACCATTGGATTGCCTCTCGAGGCATAACCCAGTAATGCAAAGAATAGGAGTGAAGTAGTCTTAACTTTGCTGGCAGTCGCAGTGTGAGGGTTCGATTCCTGATAAATGAAATTGGACTCTTTGTCGGCACCAATGTACATGCAAGCTCTTATTCATTGGTCTATTCGGAGATATCCCATGATTTACCTCCCTCACGATACTCTAGGGGTAGGGCGGTGGGGGCTCTTAAGGTTGGGGTTCAACCTTTTTTTTTATACTAACCATTGAATTTGCTTAATCTAAAGGTCACGATTATTTGTTAAAAATATTTGTCAAATTTATGTGTAGGAGGAACGCTTCCCCCTAAAATTATAACTTTCGAGAGAAGAATTCTTCTTTCAGGCACTCCTAAGGTAATGGTTATCTAAAACTCTTTGTTAATAAGTACTCCTCACTTCATCGTATTTTTGTTTTCTTGTGACATTCATACATTATATTCTTATGTTTTGTTTTTCATTCCGAAAACTCACGAAATACGACGTGAGAAGAAATTAATTTTCCTTAAAACTACACGCGATAAATTATTTTTATACATATATATTATTATTTTTTTTAAAAATAATGTTATGTGATTGATAATTGACTCATTTTGCATCCATTTACAGTGATCTTTTTAGTGAACATTTTCTTGTTTTTTCGTGTTCTCCTCTGCATGGCTTGGTCTGCATTAAAAAGCCGAATCCATTGAATCTTGTGAATGAAATTATGAAATAAATTATATATTTTTATACTTGTATATATGTAATTGCCATTATTTCAAAGATATCTTGGGAAATTGTCTACTATCTCATCAAGGAAACATTAATTTGGAAACAATTTACAGATGTAGGAGTAGTTTTTTTTTTCCCCTCATTTAAAGGCGGTCTATAGTGTACCATACTTTAAAGGGAACGCTACTGTAAATGGAATATCCCGCGAAATAAAATAAGAATCATGAGTACAGTTGTTTTTGCTGCTTCGTCAATTCGATCGAGTATGCTCATTACCTCAAAGACCCATGAGAGAGCCTCCTTTTACATTTATAATGGGATACTTGGACCATCTAAGTAGTAATCCAAAAGACCCTAAAAATTCAGGACCTAAATTTCAACTCAACTTGCTTAGTATAAATAATAAAGAAGTAAAATATACTGTTTAGACAGATCAACCTTTAATTAGGGCATAGTAAGAAGATTAAAAGTACAATTACATAGTTTTATCTATTCTACTCTTCAATATTATTATCCAGTGGCATACATTCCAATTTATGAAACAAGTCACCTCGATTTTTAAACTCTAAAAATCATACGTCAAATGATAAACAAACACGAGCTTACTCAATTATGAAAAAAATCACCAATTGTTATATAGCAAAAGTGTCATACAATTGCAAAATAAATAAATATCGAAAATTAAAAAATGTCAATCCTTTCATCTAAAAAAAAAAAAAAAAAAAAGAGGCAGGCACAGAAGGAAACCGGGGATTATGTTGATCACATTTGATATTATATTTTTTTATTAAATTAAAATATTGTAAGAAAAACTAAAAGTAAGGGGAGAATATCCATTGTAGATTGCGGGCACATGCCAAACTACATTGGTACACAATTCCCAAGGAGAAACGCTGCCGTTTTGTCCTTCCAAGTGTGATTCTATTAGACAACAAATCAAACCTCAATCCCATAATCTCATATGATATCAGATTACGATCTATTAATAATTTGAATGAGTACAAGGATTTGTGCCCAACTGTGTAAAAAGTTTGAGGACAATGTCTTAGTGTGCTTAGGATCACACAGTTGTCGTCCAACTATATGAATTGTTTAACAAAAGAATCATACAAGATTCTTAAAAAGATTGATCCCATTATCCCATTTTTTAGTAGCATAATCATGTGATTTTCTTCATCAGATATGACGTGGCACAATGAGATCTCATGTGACATGGCAAAGTGATGGTACAATTTAGGTGGTAGTGAGATTCTCTGTCTATACTTTGAATCGGTTCGTCTATTTTTCGAGGACAATTACATAGGTTGATATTTTACTTTACAATTAAATAGAGATCTAAGACTAACAAAGTGGAATCTAGGTAATTACATTACACTAAGGGTTTGATCCCAAGGCATTGCACTAACCATGGTGCTTATGAAAAAGTTATCTATATTTTAGTGTGAAACTAGTTTTGAATAATCAGACCCTATTCATCACCATGTAGAGAGATGATCAAGTAAGGAAGATAACTGGATACATTGTAGAGTAGCAACTACCTTTAAAAATAAAAGTCTCAAAACATAAGAATGGACATAATGAAAAAAGAAAAGAAAAGAACACTGTTTGCAACTGCATCTATTAAACCCATATGACTGCATAGGTATAATTTTCTTTCCGTCGGACAGCATTCAGTATTTTGGTTATATCTTTTTCTCTCGATACCCAATTGAAGTGATTCAAATGTTGGAAAGCTAATTCAAAGCGATACAAATCTTCTAAAATACACTGTTTTCAGTTCAAACGTTTGTTATGCCAAAATGGGTCCCAAATTGAAACTGAAAATCCGAAGCCAATGTTTGCTATGCCAAAATGGGTCTAAAACTGAAACTTAAAATCCAAAACATACCTTTTTCGATTGAAAATTGATGTGTGATAATATTTTAACTATAATTTATTTCATCGACTTTTTTCCTCATTTAATTGACCCTTAGAACTCTCCAATCTTCATCGTGACATCTGACGTAGCATTTGAGTGTTTATACTTTAATACCCTAACTTTGAATTTGCTTCATTTTAGCCCCTTTTCGCTCTTAATAAAAACAAAAAATAACATATTAGGCACTAATATATCCAAAAAATAACAAACTATTATCATTTATGTCCCGAATAAGTGTAGAAAGTATACTTATCAAACCTCAAACTTGAATCATTGTTTGTTCTCAAACAAAACTAAAATTCAACTATAGAACAAACACACGAACATCCGAAAATATTTATCTTGCTAACTCGTCATTTTATCTCAAAATTGTAATCATAACATTAAGCCCCTGTTTGATCCCCTCTCTCTCCTATTTTCAACCACACAATCTTCCATAAAATAATATTATACGTAATCGAAAACTTTTCCTTCTTTTTCAATCAATCATTTTTCTAAAAAATACTATTTCCCTCATTTTCATTTTCATTTTCAAGTAATGGAAATCAAACAGAGGCTAAATCTAAGTACAGCTTCAAGATTACAATACAGAAATCAAAGTCTACTTTTCCAATGCAAAACCAATGTGTGTATCAAGAACTAAGCATAGCACCATGAAACTTCAAGTTGTTTTATGCCAATCCTTAACAGTCAACTATGTTCACACGCCCCAAACTCATTCTTTTCACTCTTTAAAAGTGTTGCTCTAAGGTTAAATTTTATGTTACCTTCACCTCTCTAATTTAGGTAAATTTCAGCAATTGCAGTTTAACATGTCAATAGATAAGGATTCTCAATCAAGTTTGATTGTTTCAATCTCCAAGACTTAATTAGGCTAATTATCAAAAGTTGAATTTTCCTAAATAAGTGTTTGGACTTTAACCAAAGCTCATGCACTTGCTTTTTCTGATTTTTTATATTTTTCTCGATTTTTTTTCTTTTTTTTTTCTTAACTTTTGTTTTATTTGTAGCATTCTACCTTTTAAGCTTTCTAAATGGCCTATATAACAAGTTTTAGACCGATAACTTCCAAGTCTGTTGATTTTAGGGCAACGGGTTTTAACACCCTTACAGGATTAATATCTCGAGTCAGAAAAGCTACCAAAAGAGAAATTTTTAAATAATTTTTTTTTATATCTTGAATAATGCAATGTCTCTCATTAAACCCATATCCAAGCAAGCAGACATCTAATTTAAGACTCTCACCCAATTTCATCCTATTGATCTTAGAAAATCCACACTATTTTTTCACAAATAGAGTCCCCATCTATTTTCAATCTTCCTACAAAAATGAAATC